TGGAAGAAGGCTAGAGAAGTTCAATCTGTCATGGAGCCTCTTGTTAGAGTCTTAAAAATAGTTGATCAAGACAAAAAACCAACTTTATCAATTATCTATGAGGCAATGGACAGGGCTAAACTAGCCATACAACATTCAGTCAAAAATTGGAAGAAATACTGGGCTGTGATTGACAAAAGATGGGAGATCCAATTGCACAGACACTTACATGCAGCAGGTAAAAGTATTTAAAAATATAAATAGTTGATCATTGTGTATTAGCTTGTAAAATATTATAGTTTTTCACTAACTTACATTAAATTATCAAAAATTTTGCAGCTTATTTCTTAAATCCAGTTTTTCAGTATTCTAATCAATTTTCCAACCATCCTGAGGTAAGATCTGGTTTGAAAGAGGTTATTAAAAGATTGGAACCAGATTTGAATAAACAAGCAAGGGCAATGAATGAGGTATGACGATTTTTGATAATTTTTTATTATAATATGTGTATATATTTGTCGTTTACGTAATACATTACACAATAAATTGCAGATCAAATTATATACTGACAAACATGGCGAGTTTGGGAATGCACTCACTAGAAAAGCTGTACATGCCTCCCTTCCAGGTTTATTATTTAAACTATATGTATTTAGTAAAGTATCATTTGTTACTCTTATGGTCAATACTAATATTGTACAGTTTTTTTTTTTTTGTAGCTGAATGGTGGATCAATTATGGTGAAGAAGCTCCCCATCTGCAAAAAATTGCAGTCAAAGTTTTAAGCCAAACATGTTCATCATCAGGGTGTGAAAGAAATTGGAGTACATGGTCGCTAATCCATACAAAACTTCGCAACCGATTGGCAATGAAAAAGCTACATAAGCTAGTTTTTGTGCACTACAATATGCGGTTGCGAGTTAAAAATTTGACATATCAGCGTGAAAATGATGATTTTTATAATCCAATTGATTTGAACTGTATTTTTAATGATGATGATATATTAGATGAGTGGATAAGAGAAGGGGAGGAATCAATTTTACCACCTGATAATTTAGGTTGGCTGGATGAAGGTATTCGTGACATTGAAGAAGGTGGAAGTGGACGAGATGTAGTTGATGAAGGTGACACTAATACGGCACCAACATCTAGCAATTATGCCACTACCAGAAGATCTGAAAAAGATACGAGGCCAACTAATAAGGGTAAAAAGGCTATGAGAATTTTTGTTAGTTCTAGTGATTCTTCTTCTGATGATGATAATGATAATAATGTTGCTGATACTTATGGTGGTGGTGGTGGTGATAGTAGTAGTACTGATGATGATGATGCTAGTAATCATGGTGGAGATAAAGATGAGAGCAACAAGAGTGATGGTGGAGGGACTACTGGAGATGGTAGTGATACTCAGCTACCTGGCGGTATGTCATGGGCACAGGGGCAAGACAATTACTATGCCACACAGGATACAGACCATGGATATAGACCAGGGGCAATGAAACAACGAAGGAATTTAAACTCTTCCATTGGTGATGATTATTCCCATAGACGCTACCATCATTCACTTAGTCGACAAGATATTGACGATCATATGCAGAATTTGGGATTGACATCATATGAAGGATACATGTCTTACGGACATCATCAAAGTAGTGGTATAGAATCTAGCTATTCACATGGATCATATGGATATGGTATCCCTTCGCAGCTTTCGAGGTCTACTAGTACTAATAGTGCTGGGCATTATGGCCATCGCCCTACGCATCTTGAGAGATCTACTAGTACTAGTACTGGTGGTTACTATGATCGTGTTCCAAGGAGACATCATGATGGATCTTCTAACACAACATCGGATAGTGTCAACTTTTATGGATATGATCAGTCTTCTGCTAGTAGTGGCCGTGAATATCGTGGTTTTGGGTACTATCAGTATGGGAACCAGCCAGTACAACCTCCACAGTCACACTACTCTGATTATGGGTCATCTAGTCAATCAATTCAACCAACCCAATCAGACCTGTATTCACACTTGTACTCTAATTCTTATGGTAGACAGTACCATAATTTGTATTATCCTAGAGACAATAACGACGATTTTGAACCTCATCGTCGTTCAATGTGGCAATGATTACAGCTCAATATGTTCCTAAATGTCTACATTGAACATTGATAATGATAATTATTTTCGCTCGTGATTTTATGTTTCATTTTAATTATGTTTAATGTGTTTTTAGATGTATTGTGGATATATGATGCATAAATGATAATGTCTATTTTTTTAGAATTTTTTTAAATTTTTTTGGAGCTTCTATCTTGCATTTTGAGCGTATCGTCCGATACCGCGCCGCGACGCCGCGACCGATGTGTATCAGTACCCTCCGAGTTCATGGCCGATACCGCTACTTTGAACCATGCTAATCAAAGCTAGACAAATATACAGCTGTCTCTCCATGGATGGATCCTGGAATTGGTATCGCTAAGTAATCTTGTTATTACCTTTCCCACTGTCTATGTAATGCGTTTATGACCAATTAATAATCAATATATAGGGCAAACAGTGTGCACCCTAAAGTTCTATCAAATCCAACTTTGGCCCCTAAACATTTGAGTAAAGTACATTACACCTTTAGTTTTTAAAACTGATGACATTTTGCCCTTTCATCAGAAGCACTAGACAATTTGGATGGAAAAATTGCCATCCTGTCACATTTATACTTTCTACTGTAAGTCTTTTGACACTCATGTGATTATGTTTCCAAAAAGAGTGGGTTATAAAATATGGAAAAACTAAACATGATAAGAGTTTAAGAAGTTACAAGTTTGCAAGTAAAGAAGTGAAAGAAAAAAAAAAGAAGTTAAGATAATTTAAGTATAAAACATATGATGATTTTACTCTCAAGTTATATACAATGAAATGGAGAGAAAAGCATATACAAACTCTTTGAATTAAAAGTGAGGATTATAGTGTCTTGGTACAAAACAAGGAAATTAAGGAAAATTGGGAGAATTTAATTTGAAAAGTCATTCAATTAAAAGCATATATAGAGCTTACATATTTAGGAACGTGGTAACCATAGGGATATTAGGACAAATATTTTTTCCGTAGAATTAGAGTGTCTAAAGGATGCCTTAAAGGAAATACCAAAATGAAAAGTTTTAGGACTAGATGGTATATCTATTAAGCTTTAAAAGTATTTAGGGGATACCAAGGTATCTTAGTTAACTAAATTACTCAATGAGATTACTACAATTAAGAAAATAATTGATGAGTGGAGGAAGAGTATGTCAATGCCAATATATAAAATGGAGGAACATACAAGCTTGCAAAAAGTTTTGAGGTATTAAATTAATGAGTCATACAATAAAACATTGACCAAGAGTGATTGGGCAATGATTAAAACTTGACACAATAATATCTAATAATCAGTTTGGATTTATGCATGAAAGATCAACAATGGAAGCTATATCTTAATTAGGAGACTAACTGAAGTAACAGAGAGAAATAGAAGGATCTTCACATGGATTTTACAGACTTATAGAAAGCATTTAACCAAATCCTAGAGACATAATATAGGGGATCTCATGGAACCAAAAAATTACAAATGGGTATATTGCTATGATTAAGGATTGGTAGGAGGGTGCAGTGATTTAAGCGAGAACAACTATCGGAAAGACTAATGTATTATCAGATACTATAAGCTTACATCAAGATTCCACTTTAGATCATCTTTTTGTCTCAATTACAAATGAATTGACCACAAATGTTCGAATCAGATTTCATAGTTTGTTGATTATATAGTATTGATCGATGAAATTAAAGAAAAAATTAACACTCAATTAGAAGTTTTGAGAAAGGTTTTAGAATCAAAAGGATTTAAGATTAGTATTAAAACCATACATATAGTATTTAACTTCAGCAAAATAACATATCCTAATCGGGAGATAGTAGAGATCGAAGATCAAGAGTTATACCTTCCTGGGGAAAAAAAAAAAAAGGAAGAAGATTAAGAGATACGACAAAAGTGAATACTTTCAATATTTAGGATTGATTATCCACAAGGACGATGTGATTGGTGATGATGCTATTTATAGAGTTAAAATCAAGGTGGATTAAAGAAAGGAAGCCATTTGGTGTAGTGTGTGATCACCCCTTAAGCTCAAAGACAATTCAAGATAGTCGTTAATCCATCAAGCTTGATGATAGTAATTATTAGGCAACTAAGCAACAAGAAATTGAAAATTTGAATGTGGTATAAACAGCTATATCAAGATTGATAGATATGTAATAAAACCAAAACCAATAGAATTAGAAATATTAATATTTGTGAAAAAAAAGAATAGCATGTAAGAACATAAAATAGGCTTACTTGGATTGGATTTTTTTTACAAAAGGTCCACTACTATACCAATTATGTGATCCTTTTAGATCATGATACAAAGGATAGAGGAAAACTGAAACTAATTGAATGATATAGCTAAAACGGACATAAAAGTCTATGGCTTAACAAAAAAATATGACTCTTAAATCTTAATAGAATAGTTCAAGGTAGCTATTGGTCATTAACTTGAATGTCATTAAGACACATCGGTCACAGCGTGGCGACGCTGTATTGGCCAGTATGCACAAAATGCTAGTCTGTAAGCAAAGTTTTAAAAAGATCATGGAAAATTCTTTAAAAAATTGTGAAAACAAAATTTCACATCATATGTCCAAACTATACCATCTAGCATATAAACCTGGTAAAAAAAGGATGTGAGGGTGATACCAGAAATTTTTTAGTAAAAAACTAAAGCTAATTTGATGATCCAATGTGGGATATAATTTGAAGACTTCATCCATTATTGCCATAAAATTTAACCAAGTCCTAATCTATTGTTGTCATTGCCAATCATAATATGTATGGGATTCATTGTCAATCGAATCACAAAGATAGATTAGATTCCTAAATTAAATCCTCCAATTAGGTCTAAGTAGACATTATTGATTAGTACTTTCCGAAAAATTATTGACTAGTGAAATGTTAACTTAGAACAAATGTCTGAACATCAGGTAACTTCATGCTATAAAACAACAAGTTGATAACGAAAGGTAATGCACTAAGAAAGCGCAACTCTATTAGCCCTTTATCTGGAAAAGCTGGAAGAAAGGCAAAAAAGAAAGGTTGCCTACTACTAATATGAGCAGGTAAGAAAGAGAGGTGAGGTGAGGTGACTAGCTTATTCACTTTATTCAATCTAAAGGTTCGCTACATGCCCTATCCGCCTTATTGTAAGGGGGCATCCACTTAAGTAGGCAGAGGAAAGACGGGAGCACGAACAAGGTAGATAGCATAAAGATGAATTCATTCACTCCTGGGATAGGAGAAAGACCAATCATTAATGAATTCGTTCATGGGCCTTGTACACAATGCCCATCACACTGTAGCTAACTTAACCACAATGAGGGAGTGCCAAAGGCAGGCTAGTGACAGGAGTGAAGTTGTAACAAGGTAGCCGTATTTGATGGTGCGACTGGTTGGATTAACTCCTTCATTTCAATCCCACTCGTGGTGAGTGGAATTGACAAATTTTGTAATTGAAAGGATCCACATCCGATACATGCACACATAAATAAATACATACATTTTATAAACAATATACTAAAATTAGGATAAAAGGACAAGATCATCAAAGAAACCAAGTTCTCTAAAACTAAAATCTCAGCTAAGCATATAGGCAACACATACCCGATATATTGAAAACAAAACGATCAAAATGACTCTAGTAAAGATTTAAACAAGCATATACACCTATACGTCAGAGAGAGAGAGAGAGAGGGACCTGAATCAGGGTGCATGAGATTGAAATCCAAATCAAAGGGTACTTGAGCGAATCTTAGGTATATGTAAACGGGCAAGCATGTTGGGCACGCCGTGGGCAGACCAAAACAAGCCTTTCTAGCCACCAGCGTCAGTTTTTCCTTCTGGTTCACATCCATATGGATACCTTAGTATGCACAGTACGTGCTCGTGTGTAAAGAGTGCGTGTGTGTGTGTGTGTGTGCGCGCGCGAGAGAGAGAGAGGGAGAGAGAGACGACTGAATTGAAGTGACTTTGATGGAGTTGACAAAGAAGAAAGATTCTATAAAACCTTAGGGTTTTGCTGGGGTCACCTGCTGGAGTTTGGAAAAAGACGTGATAAAGCAAATTTAGGGTGTAGAGGGTCTCCAAAGAAATATTGTCAGGAACGGCAGGAAGACCAGTGCAGTGGGTCACAGTTCACCTGTTGGTTCAATCGGTGAACCGGTCGTATAATTAAAAAAATATAAAATATTATAAAATATAAAAATTTAACTAAAAGTTTACGAACACAAAAATCAAATAGTGTATAATATGTCTCAACTCCTTACTGTTGAATTGAATGTCTTGACTCTTTACTGCTAAATTGAATGTGTGTATTAACTATTTAATTTATATTCAATTATTCAATATGATTGTGTGTGCACCTGTAGAGAGAAAGAGAAATAGACAAAAATCAAACCCAGAATATGAGAGAGAAAAAAGAAAGACCTAGCAAGTCATACTTTCTTTTTTCTTTCATTTTCGTGGGTGTGTATCACTGTGTCTGTGTTGAGAGAGAGAGGAGAAAAAGAAGAAGATGAATTGGAAGGAGATCTCGATCTCTGGAAGTTGAAGGAGACAAAGTGGTGTGTTTACTGTGTCTGTGATGTTTGAGTCTTCAAAATCTAGATCTGTGGTTTTTGAGATCTAATTCACAAAGTAGAAGAAAACAGAGAAGATGAAGGGCTGCCAACTGATTTTAAGCTTGAATCGGCCGATTTTAGGAATCTTCGGTCCAGCAGTTTTCAATTCTTCAACGATTCGATTCCTTAGATGGTCTAACTAAATAATTGAACCACTTTAGGTCCCAGTTCATGGTTCAACCGGTCCAACTGTTCGATCCGGTTCAATTCTAATAACATTGCTCATAAGAGATACTACTTCCTTCTATTGCAACGCCAACCTTACCAAAAAAAAAACCTTCCACCTTACCCGCCTCCATGGACCTAAAGACAACCTCTTTTTGTCGAGTCTAGGTCTAATTATAGGTTAATCATCACCCCAGTTTGGGGGTCCATTTGGGTGGTTGAATCAATGGATGATTGTTATGCTTACTAAATTATTTATCAAATTTTGTATCCCAAATCAGTATGGGTGATTGAATTAGTAGGGTTCACTAACTTCTCCAAACATTCAATGCATATGATTTTGATACATCATTTGAGATATAAGATTTGGTAAATAAATTTGGGTAGCATAGTTTTATCCATAGGTAAATCATCAGTTGGGTTTGGAGATAAATAGGTGGACCTGTAAGACTTCATGTATTTATTTTAATTAATATTATAATATTATGATCATATTGTGTTTTGTTGAAGTAAAGATAAATTAATTAATACAAAAAGCTTATGGTGGAAATTGTGGAGATATTAGGAAGAATTGATGTTTAGCGGTAATCACTTCAAATAAGCCTTAATTAGAAGAAAACATAATATCAAAAACGTATTTGGAGCATTGAATGACCTTGGGATTGGAGATTTTAAGGTGTTTTAGGGTTAAAACATCTATTCGAATAATTTTTGGGTAAGATGGAATTTGATACTCTCATTGTGTAGGCCATAACTTTTTACTCTAAAGTCTGATTAACCTGATTCTTGTTCCATTAGAAGGTAGACTCCAAGACCAATATGTTAGATCATGTTTTATAATTGGCTAATTTCATGAAGTCCATAATAAAGTTTCAACCACTTTCATGGTCATGATGCTATGAAGTTCAAGATTCGAAAGTTACATTCAACATTTGTATGCATCTTCATGCTTAGGAAAAAGTTAATGGCATAGACACCTAAGATGACCCCTTAGTTATTTTTAACTTAGGGTGATAAGGATAAAAAAAATGGAATTAGAACTCCTAGGGATTTTCAAAGAATTTTTTTTTAAATCCAATTTAGTGTTTTAAAAACATAGTTTGAATCACAATCAAATCCTTCTTTGAGCAACACAATTTAACACTCCAGAGGACAAGTTTTTGTATGATTTTAGGCTTAAAAAACTTGTAAGGACCACCCTATGCTTGCTAACCTTCATTAGAGCGATTTCTTGATGATTTAGGAGAAAAGGAAAAAGGTCACTAAAGGCAGCACAGGGCTCGCTCCATGAGCTCACTCAAGTGGTCTCAATGGTCGCTTGAGCGGTGTTTGCCTTTGTCATGTTTGAAACGCATTTTTCACTCTAACAACAACCGCCCTATGACATTTGTCCCACCGTTCAAGCAGTCATTCGCGAATCTAAGTTTTCTTATTTACTAAGACTACCCTTATTCTGAGCCTATAATAGAGAGTGTCTTTCCCACACCTTAGTGAAGCTTTGAGAGAGCCTTTAGAGAGATATTTGAAGAAGAAAACTATCTTTTAACCTTGAGAGCTTCTACCATAACCTAGACCTTTAAGAATTCAAAGGCTACCACTAGTGATTTTTTCCATCCTCACAACTTAAAGTAGAAGAACTTGTTGGTGAACAAACTCATTGGTATGTGCATATCAAGGATTGGGGCTCGAGGCCTTGACAAATTGTGCAGTGGGGAGGTCAAAGTGAAGCTACACCAAGCATCAAAGAGGGAGTTCCGGCGGAGAGACATAACAAAGAAAAGAGCATCTAGCCATAGGTATTGTTTGAGGTATAAGACTTAAGTACTTGTATGTTGACTTGGCATATAGTGGATTAAGCTTTGGTGAATTCTAATTGGTTTCTCGCAATTTTTTCCAATGAGAGTTTTTCGCGTGAACAATTTGCTAGTGTTCTTTATTTTTTATTGTATACACTTGTGATTTGTGAACACTGTAAAACCCAAATAAATTTGAATTTTAATGAATTAGTCGCTACAGTACAGGTTAAAAATCTAAATTTTTCTAGAACTTGGATGACAAAATAGACCTCACCGTTTGATTCATCTCGTGAAATCTAGTTGTCCAGTCAATTTTTGTTGAATTTTGAGATAGTTGAATTTTTTACGTTTTACGATGCAATCGGGGCGTCGTGCGATTAAAATAAATGCAATCAGATTTTAATTGCAAAATATAAAAAATAATTTAAATTTAGTTCAAATAAAATATATTGAATTTAAAACAGAAGAAAATTTAATTGACTCGAGACAAAATCGGATCAGAAAAGACGAGAGTGTATGGCTTAACGAGAGCCACGTATTTGGGAGTATAAATAGGAGAGAAAAAATCAAATTTTCTCCCCATTTACCTTTAGATTTTTGGATAGAGAGATAAAGAGAAGAAGAGAGGGAAAATAAGTGGATTTCAAACTTGTCTCTACGATCTAGGATCAAACGTTCGTCGGAATGCTTCGGGCTAAGAACTAAAGTTGATTTACACAGCGAGAGCTATGTCTACATACCAAAAATTAGAAATCAAGGTTTAAAGCTTGATTTGGGTTCTTGAGAGTTTCTACCACTCGTGTTACGCTTCAAGAGGTAGGGTTCTTCTCCTAACTAAGTTTATTTTCAACTTAGGATTTCGTATAAAATGGTCAATATGACTTGAGATGAAATCTCTTGTCTAAATATATTTCTAGTATAACTAGAGTATGATAAATAATATGAGAATGAATAAAACTAATTTTACATGAATTTGGTTTGTTGCGAATTGCTCATTAGGTGATTCCATGAGAATGTGATAAATTTGACATGATTATGTGTTTACATGATTTTATGCTTTTTGAGTGTTTGATAAAATGTCTATGATTGATTAACTATGTTATTTGAATAAAATTAATATAACATACTTTGTGATGATAATTGGAATGTAATTATATGTTTGATGATATAAGTTACAATGAGAATTTGGAAATTGCTTATATTGTGCTCATGACATGTTGAACATAATGTTGTAATTGCAATTGAAATCTTGGTTGCATAATAATATAAAATGTAATTGTACATTACATTTCATATGCACGGGAAACATCACATTCGTGGGCATGTGACATGGGTGTGGATGTGTGCATGGTTATGATCAAATACCATTCTTAATGGATAATGTGTGGGCTCGAAAAAGTTGAACCAATGTTGGACTGAGTTGCATGGCTTGGCATTGAAAATAGGGTCAGAGTTAGCAAGAAGGGCTAGATTGTCCCTCGGATGCAAGACCCGGTGATTTGGATATGCACTCCATTGGTATTGAGTCCATAAAATGTGTCAGGGTACACGGAGCCGTTAGTGGAAGTCCATAAATACTCACCCCAAGAAAGACCCGAGATTTATAAATTGTCATTGTGTGTGTAACATCAATAGCAGGGGCTTGGAATGTCCGGATTCATACCCATGACATTGCATGTGTTATAGGAGTCGGTGAAGGTTCGGATTACATTGCATGTATAAGTCTCACCTCATAACACGACTTGACATTATGACATTCATACTTGAAGTTGTATGTTCTTGGATGAATACTTGTTTGATTGTTGAATTGTATGTGAGCATTTTATATGCATCTAGGTTGGGGAGTAGCCTTTTTAGGAGATATCCTATTGAGCTTGACTCACCCTTTACGGGGACAATATTTGAGGTGCGAGGCAAGTGTTGGTGGACGACTCTCACTTGGGCCCTCATTGACGAAGAAAGCCAAGTTGTGGCTTTAGACTACATTTTTGTGAAATAATTGTGTAATTAGTTTTTGGACATGTAATATTTTTTAAAGGGTTGTGTAATGAACCTTTATGGACTATATTTTGAGTAAATTTGATGTTATATAGTTTGGATGAATGTTGTATGAGATTGGGTGAGTTAAAATTGAAAAAATATTAAATTGAGGGAAAATTGAGTTCATCTACTGGTAACAAGTCTTGAGCTACCAGTAGCACGATTCTAGAGGGCTCAGCTACCGGTAGAATGTACACGAGCTACTGGTAGCTCCTCCAACAATTTGGTCGAGGA